CTATTTATTATTTGATTGATTAATCATCAGTTTTTGCTGTCTTATTTTTATTTTTGCTTAGGCATCCTGTCCCCTATGAAACTTGACTTCCTTGTCTGATTGGACAGTCTCTGTTAATGATATGTTGAACAGCACATTGGCTTCCACCAGCATAGTGGTTTATAAATAATGCCTAAACAAAGAAAAAGACCAATGTAAGCAGACTTTAAATCCCTTATAACAACACATACATTTGCCTCCACAATAGCATACTGTGTGAATCTGTAATAAAGTTGGCAGTCACTTCAAATAAGTCACCTACAAGTGAACTGAAAGTGATTTATCAAACACATTCCCCAGTATATGAGAAGACTTGCTGTCATTTAGCTTCTTTCCTAAATGTGTGATCTAAACTCTGTGTTATTTTCCTTGTTTTTCCTTTTTTGACTTTAAAAATCCCATTTCAATTTATGTATTTAATGTTCCTGTTATATGTGAACATTGAGGCACAGTCTCTAACATATCTTGCTGCTTTGGCTCATCCACTTATTTCAGATTCTTGAAATGCTCGCGTCCTTGGAGTCTAATCTTATTCGACCCATGCACTTATTGTAACTCAGTCTTGATAGAGTGTCGGCTAAATGCTGAAAAATGTAATGCAATGTATCACTTTCCTAAAATGTAATTTTTGTGTCCTTTTGATAGGTCATACCACATGGGCTGCTGTTTTTCTTTCGCTATGAGCTGGGTCACTGCTGGATACTGAACAGTCCATAATGGATAGACTGATGAAAGGAGCGGCCATTTTTAAATAAGAGAGAAATAGATTAAATGCAAATCGTTTTTCAGAGAGAGAGAGAGAGAACTGCATCCTGTGGTGAGGCATCGTCCAAATCAATTATAACAAAGTCGTACGTTCCTGACTTAGCAGGCCATGTATTTGTGAGGAAAGCCTGTGCCCCTGCAATATGTATTTTCACTGCACCATACAAAAACAGCAACTCTTTCTGGATGTAAAGTCTGACATATTCAGAGTATAGAGTTCTATTGATATCTACTGAACAGTCACTGATTGGATCTAACCATCTCAACAACTAATTATAACTTCATTATCAGCTGACTGAAACTAAAGTCTAAAACAGTTGCAGTGTATTGCATGGGTTCATGCATTGTCTGATTAATTTTAATTAAAGTCAAAGGGTCATTGCCCAAAATGTGGTGTGAGCTTGTTTTCGGTAAAGCCGTGACTGAGCATTTTCCTCAGCACACATTGTCAATGTGAAAATATACTGTGCCAACTCCGGTTGGCACAGTATATTTTCACATTGACAATGTGTGCAAGCAGAAATGGAAAAATACTGTAATTTGCTGCTGGTTACTTCCTCACTATCTAAGAATGTTTCCTCCTTTGGCTAAATGCAAGGAGGACAAAGACATGATAATTAGAAAACTCATATATTATGTGGATTCAAATAGTGATTTGATAACAGACAGTTTCAAGACAAAGGCATTTTAAACTGAAAATATTGTACTCAATGGATATTAAACTGGCAAAATCATGAAATTGCGTAAGTGAAAAATCTTAAAGGGCCCTTGAGCGGTAGGTGGGGGGAAGAATAATACTCATAACTATGTATTCATTAGAATACAATTACCTGAAACAAAGAATCGTGTTTTCGTCTACATAGGGAGTGGGTCCTCCTCACAGTCTGCTATGAGCGGACAAACTAAACACTGTCTCTAGAGGGCCTTTTGTGTTTTTACGCTAAAGGCTAATGTACTTCTCCGACACGCTTGTATAACTGCAGTAACCCCGACCGCAGCCTGAAGTTTGTTGCTCATAAAGTAGAGTTATGGTAAGGAGGACCTCTGAGCAAGTAGTTAGGTTAAAGGTTCTTATAGATACCACGGCTTTACAAAAACAAAACATCTTCTCATGTCCATGCTCTCTTATGCTTTACTTAATATGAGTCACAGTGTTGGTCCTCCTCCATATCTCATCTCATCTTTTATTCAGAGAAGCCTACATCTTTCAAATCTCATGCAGATTTGTTTGTCCTGTCACTGTGCCTAGCAGCATTTGTGAGTGCGTTTAAATATTACAGACCCTGTCAGAACGCTTAGTGACATTGTTAACTAGATCTGTGATTGAGAAAGCAAATGTGAGAAAGTTCCCCTTTACATTACAAATATAAACACAGCAGTTTGTTTTTCTCAACATTTCAGCATGTTGTCTGTTTTTCTTTTGAACGTATTAGGAATCACATTGGTTTTCATGGCATGGCCGGGCTACGTGGCATGTAGGAACACCACTGGGATCCATTAAAGGCTTCCAGTTTTGACACTCACTTCAACCCACTTTAAAACAAACAACTACGCTGTTGTTTTGCATTAGGTGTACGCTACACTGAAATATGATAATAAGGTCTGAAATGAGCACTTTTGTTGTCAAAAAACTCTTATACATGTTGTATTAAATCTATTACAACAAAGGAATTCATAAAACTTCCCTTTTCATCATCAATCCAGCTCACACTTTGCTCTAAATGGGAATTATTACCACCCACCACTCTTGTTCCCAAACAGCAATAAATGTGCTCAAAGACACTCAAATGATTTGAGGCAACATAATTTAAACACTTATTCACTTGCAATGAAGCTGCTAAACTGAGACCATAGTGACTACATGCTGTGCTGTTTGTTGTGTATGATGTGAATAATGCAGGATTACATGCTTTGCTATTCAATGATTTACTAGCTGTGAATGTATACATCTGTCATTTGTAACTGTCCTCTGATATATGTGATTCTACATTATCTATGAGGAATAAATGACAACAATAATACAAACTTTGTGGAAAGTTTTTAAAACTATGAACAGATGTTGCTCACAGATGATTATGTTGAACATTTTCAGAGATGATAAAAATAACTGACAGTTTATTAAACTGATTGTCAGTAGGGGCTTGGACTGGGAGCCGTAGGGTCGCTGGTTCAAGTCCCCGACCAGACCTAAATATGGAGTGTGGACTTCTACTTGGAGAGGTCCCAGTTCACCTCCTGCCCTGCCGTGGTGCCCTTGAGCAAGGCACCGGACACCCCCCTTCCCCCCTCACTCCCATTGCTCCCCGGGCGCTGTACAATAGCTGCCCACTGCTCCTAGTACTAGACTCCTTGTACTAGGATGGGTTAAAAGCAGAGGCCACATTTCACTGTGTGTGCTGTGTGCTCTGCATGTGTGACCATTAAAGAGGGTTTCATCCCTCCCTATTCAATTCAATATTCAATTCAATGATGCATACTGTTCTGGGTTGACATTGGTTTGCAGTGGATTATAATGACAATGTATTTTTGTTTGAATCCTTCTATGCGAGTCAGCCTTCAGTACATTTGGCAAAGTGTGTTGTGTGAAGGATGATCCCATCTGCATCACAGTTAACAAGAGCTGGCCTGTCAGGTGTCTCATCAACACAAGTGGCGTGAGTCACCAGAGCACTAACACCCCGTCCAATCAGAACGCATTAATCTGACAGACTTACTTTACCGCTTTCAACCAACTTGTCAGAAACTGTTCAAGCAAGAAAAGTGGTGTTTCATTCGGACAAAAAAGTAACAAATAATAATTGACTTAAACCAATTGGTCACATGTTACAGGAATATATGAATACATAAAGAAATATGTTTGAGATTACTTTACAGTAAATATTTACATTGCAGTAAGTAAATGGTGTCTGAACTTTTGTTGAGGGTTAATATACCACATATGAAAGCATTGTGTTTTTGTTCGGTTATTTCATATCTGATATTTGCTATCTTTTGAGACAAACATACGATGCCAAGTTCTTTCCTGATGGTTTTCTTGCCTCTGTTTGTAATTTAAGTAGAGTCCTTTAATCCCATGTTGCCTGAACACCTTTGACTCTATGACACCAGAATAAAAGTAAATTAAATCACCCAAGAAAGCACATCACTCAAACCTTCAGTGCACTGAATCAAAACTGCAAAAATATATTTTAGACCAAATGAGCTGAGCTGTGTTTTTGAGTTTGCTTTGTGATAATGAGCTTTGTTTGAAAGTGACACATTGTTAGCAAGTGAATGACACAGAGGCTTTCTGCAGTATCAAGTTTTATTTTAATGCTGCAGTTTGGAGCTGATTATAATGACCTGTTAGATATACTGTAACATTAAATCAGAAGAAAGACTGGAGAACATTTGTCTCAATACCATTAGGTCCCCCCCTGTGACCTTGATGACAGTTTGCAGTCATAACTTGTGATAAAAAGAGAACAAAAATACCATGCCACATTCACATTAATGGTGTTGCAGTTGTATTTTTCATATTGTATCTGACTCCTTTTACAAATAGCACTTGTGTGTCAGGTAGAGTTCCTCAAAATATCTGACTGATGTCATTTAATGAGTTTAATGGATTATAAATCAAGAAAGTGTTACATTTACTGAAAACTGAGTAATTATGTTCTGAAAAAGATATTGCAATCCTGATATGCTGAATATGCAACAGCTGGCAAAATCATAAAAATGAACATGTTCAACCTTAAAAATAAACAGTGCATTATTTCCCCAGTTAATTATACATTAAAGCCAATTAGTAATTTTCCATTTTAAATCTTGGGGATCTAATCCATACACAGCCTCAGTATATGTTGTGGATGTTGTCTGCCAGAGCTTGACCTTGGAGGGCAGTGGGTTACAATAGGAGGTGAGAACTCACTCTACACTCACTTTACTTTCTTTGTTTACTGCATTATTCCCTCGATGGTAGAAACCCCCAGAAAAGTTCTGCACTGGAGCCAAACAACAGCTGCCTGCATCCAACACACAGGCACAGCACAGTGAACCCACTGCCATGAAACAAGCATTAAGAGTCAAGGGCAGTGGGTTCAAATAAGCTCACATTGGGTCACTGTACTTGCACAAAAATCCAACACTGATGGTTTTTAATTACAGGGATCATGGTGAATGCCTCTGAAGAAGAGGACTTAAAATACCTGACTTACCTTCTGCAAGCAGACGCACGGCATGAACATAGGTGGGGTCCAAGCCCTTCTTCTCGGCTACCAGTTCAGGTAAGCACTTCTCCGGATGCATTGTTTTATTTGAGCAGACCTCTTCCCCGGTCATGGAGGTGAAGCGACAGAGGGCTGAGCGTCGGAATGCAACTGTAAACCTTCCCGCTCCGGCTTTTCAGTAGCTTCAATCTACCAGTCTAAAGAGCGCCAGAAGAAAAAACAAAACCCTCCAAAAATAAATCGTCCCGGGTCTCCGAGATGCCTGACTGGAGGCTGAGATGTAATTCAGAGGTGTGAGCGACTGGAGGAAGCTTTGACTTGTGATTCAGAGGTGTGAGCCCATTTCCTCCACCGCTGCCTGCTGCCTCCCCTCGGCACCCCGCCAGACTCTCACACTCAGTGGGTCTGCAGCCCGCGCTGCTCCCCGCCCCTCAGCATCATTATCGGCCATATTCCGGGACAGGCGCTGCTGGAAAACAAAGCCGGTCCCCGCTGAGCGAAAACCAATTGAGCAATGTGCATGGAGGGAATGGATTTAAGAAATACAAATACAAAAAGTTGACGTTGCAGTGGTTGACAATAATACCTGCAATATTTCCTACAAAATGAAAGAATATTAACTTGTATGCTTGTTATGTTGCCTATTCAAAAACTATTGCCTAAGGTCAAGGTACATTTGTTATAAGGTGCCAGTCACGATGTAAGTCCCTGTAAGAGCTATCAGTGGAGTCTAAATTAAAGTGTGTGATAAGTTTAATTATGGATGAAAAGTCTTACTAGTAAGAAAGATAGTGCCTTATCTCCAAGAAAAACATTCCTTATCCAATTAGTTTCTTAATTTAGCTGGGGCAAACCAAAAGGTGGCCTGTGAGTTTCTGTTAAAAGTTCCCTAGAGTAGCTCACACCTAAAACTGTGTGTGTGCATTATGTACTTTATGGAGCAAGGACAGGTTTTAAACCCATGTGTCGCTGTCCAAGGTGCTGAACACTTGCTGCATGACTGAGATTTCTCTTTTTATTACATGTATTCTAAATGATAATCTACCACGAGAATAAACCACAAAAAGGAGCTCTTTCTAATGTTGCATTTGCTTTTTTCAGTAGGGCAAATAGTCTGACTCATTAGTGCACTTGGATGTTAATCAGCCTACCTCGGTATGTTTACTAGTAAACAATCCAGTATAAGAGTCAGAATAATGTATAGTTCTCACATCCTGTGATGTGGGGGCTCAGGTAGTCAAGAAGAGCTATGTCTGCTTGTGAAGTGAATTATATGACACTACCTTAAAGAGGTTTCAATGTCAAGTGAATGCTTCATTAGGTCTTTATGAAGCAATGTCAGTGGTGTCAGCAGTGTAAGCATGCATCCCATATGAAACGCTTCCCTTGTCCCGTAGTATGATATTGGCTTGAGTCCTAAAGTCATCTGAAGCGCAGCACACAGGCTGCTTTACTTACTCACTCTTCAGTTTGAGCAGAAGAGGCTGGTGAACGACCAATTGTAGCTCCACTTGACCTTTACAGTTGACTCAGACTGCTCTGATCAGAATCACTAAGACTGTGGGGGGAATACACACTGGTGAATGAGAGTCAATTTGTATGAATCTATTATTGTTCCACCACAAATGTAAGACTATCAATAAACGTTAAAAGTATAGGTATGAACATAAGATGAAAGTTTGTTGACTATGCCCACATAACTTCCTTTTTCATGTGTGTCATTAATATGTAGCTACTTTTTAAACACTATTTCTTCCATTTCACCTTTAAAGTATCTTGACATTAAAGATGAGTATGACGTTTTTCTTTGTTTGGTAGACTAATACATGGTGCAATGCATATTGGTTTCAGAGGTCACAATACAACATATTTTCTCTGTCATAACATGTGAACATTTAATCTGATTTGATTTCATTGATGTTGTTAATTGCTATTTCTTCTCATTTGTGAAATGGCATTATAAGATGCCATTACAGATCATAGCTTGTCCTTTGCCATTTCTCTTTATAATTAACAACTTATTTCTCTCTGAAATGAGACACAATTTCATTCTTTTGCTTGATGGCCTACAATAAGTGACTGGACCCATGTCGGCCAGTACTGGCTTTGCATTTCATGCTTGCTGAACCTTCACTGATTTAATTTCATTCAATGATGTGATTCATATCAATGATGATGATAATCCTGCTGTGGCTACTAATGGTAATGATGTTTATAACTGTTAGTGTGGTTAATCTTGTAATCGTATAAAATGCACGTGAATTTAGACAGAAAAGACATTATCACACAATGTGCTCCTTCATATTGAAAATATGGATGGGCAAAATAGCTTGTACATTGATGTTTATCAGTGCAGATGGGAAGAATACCTTTTTTTTATCAGACGAGATGTCATTAGAGACAAAGAGGATTGCAAGTGACAATTTGAACTTAGACTCTCTCTGTATCAATTCTGAAAAGTGTTCAAAGCATCCCATGCAGACTTACTGCGCTCTAGTGGTCAGAGTGCAATGTTACACAATTCATGGCTAAATGCATCAGCTTAGACCTAAATAGTGCAGCTGAAAGATAGGTTATATATAACTAAATATGTCTGCAGAGAGGAACTGTGCAATAAAAAGAAATGTGCCTGATCAAAACAAGTTGTTTTATTTGCAGTACTTGTTTATCTTGTGCATTCAGTGTGAAGGTCTATAAGAGTCTATATTTGACAGTATTGCACATTATTTACCTTTATTATTTGCTGGGAAAATGAAAAGGAACATGCATGAGGAAGGATAATTGGGAATTTTAACTTGTTGTTCAACTTTGTGAAGATATTTTTACAGCAATTATGTGTGAATCACAGAAGACCCTCCTCTATGCACTCATTGTGATTGTTTGGTCATCTGGTAAACTCTGGCCTCTTTTTCCCCTCGTTATCGAATCTAATCAGGCTTCAAAAGTTGAGCAATGTTCAACTTTTGAAGCTGAGGTGGAAGCATCAGCCAATCAAATCCCGTTTATGCAAATCTGACAGTACAAGCGCTAGCCAATCAAACCGCGTGTATGCTGGGAGAGACATACCGCAGGTCATTTCCTCATATTCCAAAAAAATGGAGGAGAAATTAATTATAGCGGTAGGGAATCACCCGGTGCTTTCAGTCCCTGTTCACCTACCGGGATACAAACCGGAGGAGCCAGGCATGGAGGGAGGTGGCAGAGACAGTGGTAGGTTTTCGCCTGTTTGGGGAGCAGTGGCGGCTGGTGGAAAATATTTTAGGTGGGGCTGTGGAAATGGTGATCAAACAATACTAGGGGGTCCGGGGGGATGCTCCCCCGCTATTTTTTTTTTAGAAAAGACCCCCTAAATTATGACTTCTGGTGATGTTAGGGGGGGAAGGACAATTTGAGGCTTAAAAATATGAGAAGACTGATCAATACCTCCATAACTTCAGTGTGGTTAGCTATGAATCTTCCAAAACTTCCAAACACCTTGTCCTGGACATAGTTTCTACAGCATAAACTGTGCAACAGTACAGTAGGCCCACACAAACTGCAGAACACCGGGGCTTTGGGAACACTCAAAATGACTTAAAATGATTTAATTCCCATTTAACCTGTTAAGGGGCTTTTTTCCCCCGTTTTTTTTTCTCACGAAACTGTGTCTCAGGGCTTCTTAAAATGTAATAAACTATTCATGTGTCCTACTCAGAGGAAACGCAGCTAACTGATGATATGAACCATGTTTACCGAAACAAAACACAAGTCTCACAAGAAGCGTCTAAATGAGCCCTGAGCAAAAAAATGCTAACGCACTCTAGGTATAAATCAATCGATATACTTATCGGATATGCACAAACAAGCTTATGCTAACAAGCTGAGATTCCACAGATTCTAGAAATATAAGTATCATCACTGAGCGATCAGAACTCGCTACAGAGGAAGCAAATACAGACATCACACGACGTAGCTTTAGGTAGCAAAACACGGAGATATGCTCAGAATGCTTGTTGCAGAATAACAATTCTGATCAAAAACGAGAAAAATGCAGCTGAAGGTTAATCCATAGGTTAATCCAATGTGTCTGTCACTTTGAAAAATGATTGATGATCCATAATTCAATTTCTTTTTTTTTTAAACTGAGTTTTCATTAGCTGCTAATGGTAGCTTCCAGAGTGTATGACAGCTTCCTGTTTTGTCTCCTTGGATACGAGTCCAAACAACTAACAGACTGCACCGGGCGCTGACGTAGGAGCCCTGTGACCATCAGATTTGACGACGCTGATTGGTTGAAATGATGTTGCTTTTTTGCTTTGTATGTCGGGGGCGGGAGATTCATGTGATTGGTTGTTGGTCGCGTTGCTCGCAAAAAATCCCCAAACTTCAGATACGCCCACCTCCAAGATTTTTTTAACGCTGCTGTGTGCACGTACCAGAGTTTATATATACAGTCTATGGGACGTACCAGAGGTTTTCAAACTTTGTTTTCAAAATAAAGCTATATAAATTCCCTACTATATAACACACTTCTGTTCCTTTAACAGAACTGGCCTGTAAAATAAATCCACCTCAGGCCTTCCTGACCTTGTGACCCTTACAAAGCTTTTTTGTCTGTTTTTATTCTCAAACATCAACCGTCACACTATTTTGTGCAATACATAGCATTTGAGATAATGCCTTAGAGACTTCATAAACAGGGACAGGCCATACTTGTATTTATCAAGTATGTATGTAGTAGTAGGATACTATTGGCAATGTTTTCTCTGTATTCCAAAAATACAATACATTCTACTCTGAAGCAACACCAATCGCTTGGGATGATATTAATGTAAAGGTGAAAATAGAGGCTTGTTTTGGAGGTTGCTTGTGGTTACATCATGAGTACATGATTAAAATGATTGTGTCAAAAGACATTTGAAAACATAAATTCGTCAGTCCAATGACACTTTCTTTTAAGGCAGTTATATGATCTACGCCAGGGGTACTCAAACTTTTTTATTAAAGGTCCACTTGTGAACTTTATACAAGGTCACTGGTCCGGATCAATGCCAGTAAAGTCACGGTCTGCAATGCGTGTCACGCTCGCGCACACAAGTAAATATATATGCACGTTCATTCTCACAATCAGACACGCGTCAGACACAAGACGCGCGTACACAATGATGTACATATATTTATCAGAATCAGAATTTTAAAAAAAAATAAAAAAATTTAATAATTTTTTTAAATTTTTTATAATGGGACACAGGGTTCGGTCCGGATTGATTTGCAGTTCGGTCCGGATCCGGACCTTGGTCCGGAGTTTGAGAAGCCCTGATCTACGCCTACTACTCAATGTTCAAGTTGGTCTACAGGGGTTTATTATGAAAAACTTTACCGGAAGTCTTACTTTGAACGATATGGCTTGACATTAGTATGCAGCATGCCATGCAGGCTCTCGGGAAGAATGCGAGCAAAACACTGACTGACTACGAACTGACTGTTGAGGAAGTTGTCTATCCAGGGATTACGCGAGAATATCAGCAAAGGTATGAAAAGAACGAATGTTTATTGTACATTTTGATTCAACCAGCCGCAAAAATAATGCCAGACAACTGTTGGCTCAATGACAGCGACCCTCTACCACACAAAACAACACCTGTGAACCCAATTTGTGTTCTTTGACATTGAAAATGATATTGCATTGTGTTTGTTACTTTCGTTACAGTTGTATGTCTTAAGTGTAATTTGGCATGCTTTTATTTTGAAGGCGAGTTCACGCTGTTGACAGGAAGTTGTTGTTGCTATGGAAACAAGAAAAGTTTCACAGCGGGCGGAACTTGTCATAAAGTCCGCGATAATGTAACCCACCCATTTAGAGGGAAGATATGATTGGTCAATTGTACTGTCATTTGACATTACTCTCTCGTTCAGTTACTATAGCGGGCCCTCTGTGAATCGCAGAGAGGGCCAGACCTTCTTTCAGACCGAACAGGCAGATTCGAAGGAATTATTTCTTTGGAAATGTTATTTTATTAAATCAAGTTTTTTTTCGGTAAAACTAATGAAAAATATAACAAAAATAATATAAAAAAAATATATATTTTTAAAAAATATATATTTTTTTAATGTTTTTAAATATTATTTTTTGGAATATCTTAGGCCCTCACAGAGGGCCTAGAGGGCCCTGACGGCTCGCCACTGTTGTGTTGTGTAGTTTATACTTTATTCCAACTTTGAATATTTTAATACCTGAACACACTGCTGCTGCTGTTAAATAGTTTCCCAATTTGGGATTGATAAAGTGTCTGTCTGTCTGTCTGTCTATTTATTTATTTTATAGATTAAAAAAACACATCTATGTATTTTCAAGGTAAAGGTGATACACAATATAAACTGTATACTATTATTTTTTCAAAGACATGTTACATTTCAAAAGCATATATTGCTATGTTTAGGACAAACAATTAAAGACTGCTTTAATTGAACAAATTCTACAATATAAAAGTGGCAGATTTGCTTTATTAAACAGACCAGACCTAGGTTGCATACCAACACAATTAGGAACATGCTCACATCTTACTATGTTGGTCTGAAGAGCTGAAGCATTCATACACAATGGATAAAAACGGTGTTGTCTCATTCTATATCCTGTGAGAAAATGATATACATTTAGCATTAAAAATTCGACATAGCCTACTATTCCTAGCCTGAGGAAGATATGAATAATCAACAGATTTGAATGGAATCTCTAACATTTTCATGTAGAATAAAGACAAAAGAGTGATTATACAAATTACATTTATTGAAATTTGAACCCGAAGATGAAGTCTCAAAGAATGTTTTAAATTAAAGGACATAAAACAAAAAGGTGGATAATAATAACATCTATTAAATGTATATGTAAAGACATTTGGTCAAATGAAATGACACTGAGCCAGTGATAACAGCAACGCCAGCGTGGATGAAGATGGTGCAGGTCTCTCTTCATGCCCCCCCTCCGTGCTGTCCCCTCAGTGGAAGTGGGAACACGGGATAAGACCTCTGGACACCACGCTGTCTCAATGATCCACACTGTTAATATGAGAGGAAAATAAATATTTTAGGAAATGCAAAAAATGAAGTTAACAAATAAAACACAGCTCAGGGGCATCATGGACGGTAGGTTTTCCTACAAAGTTAACTCAGCCTCCATTGATTTTCATATCAAATTAGTGTGTTAATAAAATAAGCTATCATGGCTTATACTTGCATATCTAAACAGAATCATGAAAGCCTGTTGGTAGAGTCAGACAGGCACACGAGTCCGTTTGAGTGTGTGCGCCGGTGTCTGAACGCTCACTCACTCACTGCTCGCTTTGTAGCTGTCCCTGCTATTAGGCTACTAGCTTGCATTGTGGATCTAAAGTTAGCAAAAGCTAACTTTCATAACACAGCTTTTCTTTACTTCTCACTTAACTAACACAATAAAGAAACAGACCGTATAGTACAGCACAAACAACACAAATGATCAATACTTACATATATGGTCACTTGTAGTATTATAATAATTGAAATGCTGGTTCTTGTGGGGGTCTTCTGTCCACGCTCAGCTACCGCACCGCAGCTGCCTGCACTGTACAATCGCTGGAGGCTGTAACTCAAAAACTGAGTAGCCAATGGGGACGCACCCCTGAAAGTCCCGCCCACCTGGGAGGTTTGTGTCAGAATCTCAAACAAAAAGTGAAGGAGCGAGAGCAAAAGTCTGATCATTGAGAAAGAAGAAACAAGAACTGCAAACAAAAACCTATGTTAAAACAAAGAAAAAATACTTATAGTTTACATGATTACACAAATGATTTGTTTGCAACTTATAGTTTTATTTTTTAAATTTATTTTATTTTGCTTGACTCAGTTTTTTTTTCTTTTAAACTCATAGTTTTGCTTTATTCGGAGAAAGTGTTGCTTTATCTTTATGATACAAAACTAATCCCATAGCCACACTGCCTTACGGGATACACACGTGTCCTGCAGTGTAGTAGTAGACTCAGTCCAACACTTGCAGTAATGTACACACTGACAGTAATGATAAACTAAAGGTTACATCCCATTTTATATTATTAAAATGAATCAAAATGCAAGCCTGCATGCAAATCATGGTGACAGTTGTTTTTGGAGTTACTCTGTTTAGGGAAAGTTTCATGTTTGCCTGTCACTCGTGTTTCAAAGTCATTTTATGCCTTGGGAAAAGAAGTTGAAACAAGTCGAGGCATGTTTTGATTGAGCTTTTGAACATGTCACATGATCCTGAATGCTGTATTTGAGATGCGAGGCTGTTTTCTATGTGAAGAAGTTTTGAAGAAGTCCTGCATCTGAAATAAACTACATTAGATGGATGGATTTGGCATACAAAGTGAACATTCTTACCATGCCCCCTAATGCAAAAGTTGTAGGGTAATAGATGTGTTAGTATTTTAGAAGGCCTTTCTGCATATTGTGAATATTTACATTTTTTATTTTTTTATTGTAATTTTGTGTTTTTCCTTTACGATTGTAGATTTGATTGTTCTTTCTTGAAAAAAGTTAAACTAACCCTCCAAGGATGAGACACATTTTTTTTTAAAACATGTATTTATTGAGTTTTTACATTCATGACATTACATAAACACAACCGAAAATTCCCCAGCATTAGACATACGGCAGATTACAAAATAATGCTAAAAAATAAATAAAATAAAATAAAAATAAATCAGTTTAAAGTACAAACCAAGAATAAAATTACATTTGCAAATTAACAAATTCAACAAAAATACAATAAAAGCACATCCACAAACAGAGCAGAGTACAGTTGAGACAAATTAAAGATGTCATCAAACATACTTTAACACTGTGTTCTCCTGCAGGAGGATGTCAGCAGTGGTGGTGGTGCATGGGGGGGCGTGGGCCATACCTGAGGACCTGGCCAAGGCCTCTGTGGATGGAGTGAAGGCTGCAGCACGTCAAGGCTCTTCTGTGCTGAAAGGAGGAGGAAGTGCTCTGGATGCTGTAGAGGCAGCCGTGAGGGCTCTGGAGGATAACCCTGCGTTTAATGCAGGTATACTGTACACAAATACTAGTTCACATTCCCATATTTAAACATGTATGCCATGCAGTCTGCACTAGGTTAATGAGTATATATGCACACAAATTCAGTTTTTCTGTAGCCCAATGTCTCCATCTGCTGGTGGGGATGCCAACATTCATCCAAACTACGGCCTGGGGGCCAACTGTGGCCCTGGGTGAACTTTTTGTTGCTAATTCTAAAATTATTATTGAATATGGCCCAAACCTAAGATTTATTACTAATATATAATATTGTACTTCTAACATATATATTAAAATATAAGTAAATAATAAGCCCAATTTTTCTATAAATTAAGTCAATTAAAGTAAAAAAATCTTAGTTGATAAAAAAACATCCCAATAACTTATTTTCATAACAAGCTTGAAATATAACCTTCCTATTTACCCTTATTATAAGCAATCTGAGGCTAAGGTTTGAAGGGATGTTTATACAATGAAGTTACATTTACTACAACTACATTGCAGAACTTAAAAGCTATTGAATTCATCAAAACTAATAAACATGTTAAAATGTGTTTTATGTACCAAACAAATGTGTACGAGTAAATACAATCTGTTCATCAATAATGTGTCATTCACAGTACTGTGCTGTTTTTATACTGTTTTGTCACCACCCTGTGGATATGAGAGGATGTAGCAGGCAGCGTAAAGCCTCTGTTTCCAAAGAAGGAAGGAAAAGCCGGTTTTTCTCACATCCTCTCTGTCTGTCGCTCTTGAATTTCATTTAGTTTCTCAGCAGATAAAAGACCTTCAGTTCACACGCTGACTCACTAATAGCTTGGCACATCAGATTTGTATCCGAACCATTATATACGTTTCTTTGATTGTGATTGTAGGGCATGGAGCAGTGCTAAATGCTGATGGAGAAGTGGAGCTTGATTCCATTATCATGGATGGAAGGACACTTGCCAGTGGTGCCGTGGCTTCAGTGAAGAACATCGCCAATCCTGTGTCACTGGCACGGGCAGTGATGGAAAAGGTGTTGTCTTAAATACTTGCTTTTGTCTTTCTTTGAAGGAACAGTAAAGACCAATAACTATAAGAAATACACTTATTTGAATACAGATTTGGACTGAATCTTTTTTTTATTATTATTTTTTGGTACGGATTATTGTATTGCAGGATAATGAAACGGTTTTCAAATCCATTTTATTTTTCTTACATGTCCGCTGCCATTGAATATGTCAGACATCCCATGTCATACTGGCATGCAGAGGTGCAAACCTGTTTGCAGAGAGTATCGGCATGGCCACCATCCCCACTGATGAACTGGTGACTGAGAATGAGAGGAAAGAGTGGGACAAACAAAAAAACTATGTAACTGGAGTTATGGAGGATTTCAACTCTCAGTGGCAAGTATCTTCATCATTTAACCCATGCTATTCTTAATTTCATTCATTCATTCTTCACATAATCTTTTCATGTTAAATAGCATGGTGGGACACTACCCAATCAAACATAAATATAATATATATAACCCTGGATCCTACTAGGCAGAGAATGTGCTTGTGCAAAGAGAGTTTAATAAAGGGTAATACTGCAGAACGTGATGATTGCTTGTTATATGCAAAGTGAAATATGTTATCCCTTACATCCTTTTGTTGTCATTCCAGGGCCCATGATACTGTTGGGGCGGTCGCTGTGGACTCTGATGGTAATGTGGCATGTGCAACATCAACTGGAGGCATCAGAAATAAAATGGTTGGCAGAGTGGGAGATTCTCCCATCATTGGTATGACTTCATTCACTTTCACTGTAAAAGAACATTTATAATTTCAGTTGCACTCCCAACCTTTTTATAGTATTTAAGGACACCAATGTGTGAAATCTAGCAAAAGAAAAGTAGATTAAATGTTTTTTTCTCCCGTGTTCTTTCTTGTAAATTAGGCTCTGGAGGATATGCAGACAACCTCAGTGGTGCAGTGTCATGTACCGGCCATGGAGAATCTATTCTCAAAGTGACATTGGCCAGACTCATTCTTTCACATGTTGAACAAGGTGAAGTATCACACTTTAAAACTCTCTACATTAAGACAGGCCACATATGGGTCGGACTTTATCTGGTCTTGATTTGATGGAAATGTAGTCATTATAACTATGGCTGCAGTTATTAAATGAACTTGTTTATTAGAGAGTTGGTTTAGTTATATATTTAGGCCAAAGGCAAATGAGGAAAAGTTAGATACTGTGGGACTCAAATAATGAAATACGGTCTTATTGTCCTGTTTACTATGAGGTCCCACTTTGATGTAGTGTTAGCTGTTTTTACATTCTGGCTTTCATTGACAATGGTTTGCAAGTTTTAAGAAGGTCTGATTTTTTTTCACACATTGGTGTCAGATTTCTTTTTGACAATGGTACGGGAACATGGACACACTTGTTAAAGGATATGACCACACATTGATTTCCTGAATATTGATTTTCCATTGATTTCCATATTTTCTCACAGGTAAATCAGTAGCAGATTCTTCCCAGTTGTCTCTGCAGTACATGGGAGACCGTGTCCGTGGTGCAGGAGGCGCTATAGTCGTTTCTCCGTCAGGACAGTGGGCAGCAACGTTTAGCACAGAGCGAATGGCCTGGGCAGCAGTGGATCAGGATGTTCTGTGGTATGGATTAGACCCAAAGGAAAAACTGAATGAAAAGTTAGGCCAATAACATTCTTAGCACAGTTTTTACTCTTTATAGTCAAAGTCTGGAGCTATAGAATACACATTTCCTTAATTGTTTTCTACTAATTCTCTATGGTTTGGACCACACTGGATCATTGTTGATAGTTGCCACTGGTGCTTGTAGCCAAAGGGAATTACTTACTTGAGACAAAATATATATTAAGTTGTAGAAAAAGTGGTTTCCAAATATTATTTAAAATATCAAATAGCTCTCGAACATCCCCTAAAATGGCATTTTTCTCTTGTTCCAGCTTCTTGGTGACCAACTTGAATGTCAAATATAACATTTAAAATAGGGTTTTTATTTACTTTTTTTAAAATTATTCTATTGATATATGTCTCTTGTAATGGTACAATCTATTTGTTAAATCATAAACATATTTTAAATAACAGTAATTTCACACTGAAAGTGTGTCCCACAACATGCGCGCCACCCTTTTACCGAAAACGTTTTAGCTTATATTTATAGCCTTGGAAAAAAAAAAAACGGTTGAAACAACAACTCGAAGTCTGGGCATCAGTGGATCAGGATGTTCTGTGCTATGGATTAGACCCAAATGAAAGACTGAATGAAAAGTTATGCCAATAACATTCTTAGCACAGTTTTTACTCTTTAAAGTCAAAGTCTGGAGCTATAGAATACACATATTTCTTAATTGTTTTCTACTAATTCTCTATGGTTTGGACCACACTGTCTGTCATTGTTGAAAGCTGCCACTATAGTAGCCAAAGGAAATTAGTTTTCTTCATGAATTAGCACGTCAGAGCTACATACTGTATGTACAATGAAATAATTAATGAAAGCTGGTAGATTATTGTAAATCTCGAGAACTTTAAATCGGACCAGTTTTGTTAGGATAACAACTGGTGACTTCTAGAATTGTGTGAGTAATATTCTGTTTTTTATACTTCTCTGTTTCACTGTGTGTGCTCTGTATTAATACCCTGTAGTTGATCTGATTGAAATTGTGATTTTAATCTCAAAACCGCTATAGCATTTTCAGGCAGAAATTTGGGACAATTATTTTTGACAGAAACCTTCAAACTGAACTAACTGGCTGCTCGGGTTAACTTTGATTCAAACATTTGTAGAATACTAAAGGGCTTTATTGAGTAGGGGTAACTGTATTAAGGGTTACCTCATAACTTTATAACTTAGGGTTTAATGTAATTGTAAACTATTGTGCCACTTGAGGCCCATCAGCTGCAGAGAGTTAACTAATTAAAGGGGCGTGGCCCCACAGCTGTGACAACTCAGCAATCAGGTGTCCATTTCAGGTAGCACTTTCCTGGAGCGTCAGTCAGCTTCAGCGTCAGACTGACAAAGACAATAGAGTCCTGTTGGAGTCACGAGGGAGACAAAGAGGAGACAAAGAGGAGACAAAGAGGAGGTAAATCCTACTTTAAATGAGCTAAGTATCGCTGGTGTTTTTATCCACTCTTGCTAAAAACATGTGTATATTCTCCATTCCTGTTCATGTGTCTTCTCGCAATTATTACTGGCCCCGTGCATCTCCTAATCATTATAACTGGCCTGCTCTCGTCTATCCAACATGCTCCACTGAGATCCAATATCTAGTTACAGGTGGCCTGTGGAACTGCCAGTCAGCTGTTCTTAAGGCTGACTTCATTTCTGGCTACGCTTCCCTGCAGTCTCTGGATTTCCTTGCTCTCACTGAGAACTGGATTACTCCATCCAACACATCCACCCCAGCAGCTCTCTCCACAGCATATTCCTTCACCCATACACCCAGACCCACTGGCAGAGGAGGTGGCACTGGTCTCCTGCTCTCTCCCAAATGGAGCTTTTCCCTCTACCAACTACTTCCACCTTTGAATTCCATGCCGTTACTGTAACCCATCCTATACAAATAACCATTGTTGTTCTCTACCGTCCACCAGGCGCCTTGGGGGACTTCTTGGAGGAATTAGATAATCTCCTGTCACACATCCCTGAAAGTGGCCCTCCCGCTGTACTTCTCGGAGACTTCAACTTCCAGACAGAGAAGTTATCTGAGTTAACATTTCTTTTAAACGCCTTTGCTTTCTCACTGTCCATCCCCACCAACTCATAAAGCTGGCAATGTCCTTGATCTCATATTCTCAAGGAACTGCACTACTTCTAACCTCTCTGTAAACCCGCTTCACACGTCGGATCTGCCGTCCTACCACCTGTCCTCTGGACCCTATCCCCTCAAACCTCCTTCAAACTATCGCTCCTGATATTCTACCGTTTCTCACCCATTTCATCAACACTTCTCTAACTTCTGGTCACTTTCCAAACACTCTCAAGGAGGCAAGAGTAAACCCTCTCCTAAAGAAACCCACTCTCAACCCGTCCGATGTTATAAACTACAGGCCTGTCTCTCTCCTCCCATTCCTGTCTAAAACACTTGAACGCGCTGTCTTTAAACAACTCTCCTGTTATCTCCATCAGAACAACCTTCTTGATCTGCACCAGTCTGGTTTCAAGGCAGGTCACTCCACAGAAACTGCTCTCCTTGCGGTCTCTGAGGAACTGCACACTGCTAAAGCAGCCTCCCTCTCCTCTGTCATCATCCTTTTGGACCTGTCAGCTGCATTCGACACGGTGAATCATCAGATCCTCCTTCGCACTCTCCAAGAACTTGGAGTTTCAGGCTCTGCACTGTCTCTCCTCACCTCATACCTCGAAGACCGCACCTACAGGGTAACTTGGAGAGGGTCAGAGTCCGACCCTTGTCAATTAACTACAGGGGTCCCTCAGGGCTCTGTCCTTGATCCCCTCCTCTTCTCTCTGTACACAAACTCGCTCGGATCGGTCATTGCCACGCTGACGACACCCAATTAATTCTGTCTTTTCCCTGTTCTGAAACCCAGGTCGTCGCACGCATCTCTGCTTGTCTAGCAGACATCTCTCGGTGGATGTCTGCTCGCCACCTCAAGCTCAACCTTGTCAAGACTGAGCTGCTTTTTCTTCCGGGAAAAGAGTGTCCCACTCTTGACCTAACAATCAACATCGGCCCCTGTTGTTTCCCCGACTCAGACTGCAAGGAATCTGGGTGTGACCCTAGATAACAACCTGTCCTTCACTGCAAACATCGCTGCCACAACCCGCTGCTGCAGATACACTCTTTACAACATCAGGAGGATACCTCCCCTCCTGACCCAGAAAGCGACACAACTTCTGGTCCAGGCTCTCGTCCTCTCACGCCTAGACTACTGCATCTCCCTCCTGGCTGGTCTACCTGCATGTGCCATCCGACCTCTGCAGCTCATCCAGAATGCAGCGGCTCGTCTGGTCTTCAACCTTCCTAAATTCTCCCACACCACACCGCTCCTCCGCTCCCTTCACTGGCTTCCAGTAACTGCTAGAATCCACTTCAAGACACTGGTACTTGAGTACCATGCTGTGAATGGATCTGGCTCTTCCTACATCCAGGACATGGTTAAACCATACACCCCAGCACGTGCACTCCGCTCTGCATCAGCCAAACGGCTCGCTGCACCAGCACTGCGAGGGGGACCCAAGTTCCCATCAGCAAAAACACGTCGGTTTGCTATCCTATCCAAAATGGTGGAATGAGCTCCCCATTGACATCAGGACAGCAGAAAGCTTACACATCTTCCGGTGCAGACTAAAAACTCATCTCTTTCGACTCCACTTCAAGCAATACAATTACTAACAAAGCACTTGTATACTAATAAAGGACTGGCTTATCTAAAGCCAGTTGAGTAGCACTTGAAATGTTTTGGCTCTATGAAACCTGATGTACTTATATGATTCTGTTTTCTTCAAGTTTGTATCTTCTTGGTCGAATGCACTTATTGTAAGTCGCTTTGGATAAAAGCGTCAGCTAAATGTAATATAATGTTATCTCCTGATTTGATTGAATATTACATTAAATACTAATTGAAAATGTCTGATTTTTTTTTTTCTCCAAATTAAATCTATTTTTTACATTATGTAGGCCTAAGTTTATTTCTCCCAATTAGCGTTTCTCCTCCCAGGACCGTCTATCATCACTCTTTCACACCTTTTATACATAACATTTGTGCATGCCATGATACTCAGCTCTGTTGTGTAAACATTGAAAGACTGTATTAAAGGTACACAGTTTAGAATGAAAAGTAAACTATCATGTTAGACAAAACAAATATGAAGAAGTTAAACTTTAAACATCCATCAATTAAACACTTAATCCAGGATGAAAGCAACATAGTTGCAGCTGCAAGGTGAATACAGAACAGCTGGAAAAAAGAAAAAAAAATGACCCGGTGTTTGAATGCGTATAACAGGTTTATGATATCACTGCCCCGTCCAAGACACGAGTGGATCTGACTTGAATTACATTTGAGTGTTTCGTCAACTTAATGTGTTTTAAATAATACTTCTGCCTACAGTATGTGACAATGTATGTGTTGAATGGCCAGATACGGCTAAAGAAGCTGACATAAGGAAATATGATGTATTGTGATGTGATATGATGTGATATGAATGATAATGGGACACATCGACGTCTGCACTCAGTGTCGCGGACTGTACGCAATGTTACTTTGATCCGGTTACTTATGTTGTGGCAGATATTTAAGTAAGCTTTCTTAAAGCTAATGTAAGAATAGTCAGATTTCTCTGAAGATGGGAGGTGATATTATATAAATGTTCATGTTCACACAGTCGGTGATTTTTGCCGGACCTCTTTCCTGCATACAGCTGTTAACACTGTATTTGTTTTATCCTGTAATATGACTTGATAGCTTTAAAATCCGCACACTGAGCTCTGATTGATCAGCAGGCGGTGCTTTCACTGAGTGAATCTCTTATCTGGAACAAAACCTGCTCCGGAAGCAGGTTAGATGTTCAGCATAAGGTACCATGGAGATCCACCCCGGTAAGAAGTGAACCAGCGTCGTAGGACAGAAAACCCAAAGAAAACCCTGAAGTTACCTCGCTAACCGCAAATCTGGCTTGGTAGTACAGGCCACAGGAAACAGCGGCAGAGTGGATTAGTGAGCCTCCTTACCCATCAGCATCACTCCTCCCAGTAAGTGACAGAGCATGTTAATAACCAGTTGTGGCACAAAAATAATGCCAGACAACTGGGTCATTCCAGAATTGGAGGACATTTCATGTCCCACATGTAAAAAAATCAAATAATCCATGTCCAAAAAGCTAAAACTTGTTATATTAAATATTAAGAGGAAAAGATGCCTGTTTTTGTTGTTGTTATTAATGTCAGGAAATGTTCAACCTAACCCTGGTCCGCCCAGTAGTAGTAGTCAGATCGCTACTCCTGCTGATTTTAAAGCTAGGTCTGGGTTGGGTTTCATCCACTTGAATATGTGCAGTCTGTTAGGTAAACTAGATTTTGTCCGCATTTGGGCAAGCTCGACTGACGCTGACGTCATTGTTTTATCCGAGACGTGGCTAAATAAATCTATTTTGGCCTCTGACATTGCCTTAAATGGTTAAAATGTGTATCGCTCCAACCGGCCTAATAAAGGTGGTGGCGTTGCCATTTATGTTAAGAATAAATTCAGTGTAACCACATTAGTTTCCAAATCTATCAGTAAGCAATTCAAATTTTTAGCCTTAAATATAGAAGTGGCAAAGGGGCAACAGGTCATGGTGGTGGGCTGTTACAGACCCCCCTCAGCTGTCAAGGACTCCTTGTCTTCACTAGCAAATCTTTTATTGCAACTTGACTACAAGGAAATAGTGCTACTTGGAGATTTTAACTGGGACTGGTTAACTGCAGTATCAGAGGATTTAAAAAACCTTTGTATCTCTTTAAATGTTACTCAGATTATAGACAGTCGTACTCGCCCTAACGTTAAGTCCCCAAATAAATCCTCCCTAATTGGACTCATTCTAACTAATGTTCCCTATAAATACTCATCTGTGGGAGTATTTGCGAATGATGTGAGTGAACACTGTTGTAGCCACAATTAGGGACACTAAGGTCCAAAAGGTTAAACCTCGTATTATCATTAAGAGAGACATAAAACATTTTGTGGAGCAGGGTTTTGTTCATGATCTGTTTGGGTTTGAATGGGGAAAAATCGATCTGTGTGCTGATGTAGAAACTGCATGGTCTTATTTTTATCTTGGTTTTATGGAGATCATTGATAGACATGCACCCCTGCGTAGATTTAGAGTAAAGGGACGAGACAATCCTTGGTTTTCTGCTGAACTGTCTAGTCTCCTGCATGAGAGAAACAAGGCCTGGGCAAAGGCTAGGAAATCTGGCTCAGAGGTAGAATGGCTGCGTTTTAGGCAGCAAAGAAATAGCTTCACTTCACATGTCAAAAGTGCTAAGTCTAAGTATTATTTGTCAGTTACCACAGAAAACCTAAATAATCCTAGGAAATTT